CTTTTTTCCACTATTTTCATTTTTGTTATGCCAACACAATCAAGCGCCGTACTTAGCACGGTGCATAGGCAACTGGCTGAGTCAGTGGGGTCGTCGGTTGGCACCCTGAAATTGTGCATATGGAAACTGTGCATACGAAATAATGCATATGAAAAAAGCCGAAATAATGAAAAATTGAGAATATCACCGTTTTTGTAAAAAACCGACCAGCGCGACCTCTAAGAAAACTTTTTGTTTCAAAATAAAAAAATGCGTGTCTCTTTTTTTATCACAAATAACAATATTCTTATGTAGCGTTTATGAATTTCCAAAAAGAGTGTTTTTATGAACCACTCTAATACATACATATCAAGACATCAAAGTGCCCACACAAAAAAACTTGCAATCATACTGCTCGTCAAAATGACAGTTGGTAGGCCAACGGTGTTTGCCTGTGGAGTTTTGCGATAAATTTTACCCATGTATTTTGTTTGTGTAAAATTACTTTAGCATCGGTTTACCGGTTACCGAATTATCGTGTTGGAAACTTGATAATTTTTCTGGTACTTGGTAAACTGCAATCAGCTGTACGATGTTCATCCAATTTTGAATCCGCCCGCTATTCCGGCCGAACAGCCGCGTGTGTGTGGCTGTGTTCACTACACTAAACTACTGTGTTTTATTTTATTCAGTAGAGCTTAGTGGGACCTCCGCCCAACCCTAGAGCGGCTGAACTACCTCAGCCTTCGATAAAACCCACCTCGTAAGATATCTGAATACTTGAAAGCAAATAATTGTATTTTTATATTCCGTTTAATATCGGATAAGGTGCCTACACAGAATAAGCCAACCTTTCCAAAATCTGCCGTTATAAGCGACTTAATTGTAACTAGCTATAATTATCTTAACTCTGCAAGACTATATTTTGTCAACGCCACGGGTTTATGGAATTCTATTCGAGCTGCTACTCGCTGCAACTTAAACAAGGGCAACTTTAGGAATGTGTTGTTTTCGTACTTTCGTCAATAAGTTTTTGTGTTCTGATTTTCGCTATCTGCTAGGATTATCATATGTGTATGTATTAGGAATGTTAATCTCGGGATCCCGGACTTTTTAAGGTCTCGAATCCCAAGTATTTTCGGGATTTGTAATTTGCACTGATGGCAATAATAGAAACTCCTTTTCTTGACCAGTATTGGCTATATTTCGTTTTTATACCCGAGCGCACTTGTGCACAAGGGTACTATAACTTTTTTCACATAACGGTTGTTTGTAACAGGCAAAACGAATCGAGATAGATATAGACAAATGTATATGTAAATGATCAGAATGAAAAGAGAAATCGATTAAGCAGTGACTGTCTGTCCGTCCGTCTGTGCACTCGAGTAAAAATTGAGATATCTTAACGAAACTTTGTACGTGCACTTCTTTCGGGCGTAGGACGGATGGTATTGAAAATGGGCAAAATCGGACAATAACCACGCCTACCTCCCATATAACTGTAGTTTTCAGAAATACGAAAACTGCGATATTTTAGTAACTACTGAAGATTATTCACTCAAAAAAGATATTTACAATACGTTTTAGGCGAAAAATAAGAATATTATAAATTTTTGAAAAATGGTCGTAGCCACGCCCACTTATGGTTACATGTGTATATCTTGGTAACCGCTCCACCGATTTCTCCCAAACTTAGTACAATTGTTGGCTCTGGTACAGCATACCAAAGGTCTGAAAATTTTTAAAATCGGACAATAACCATGCCCACATCCCACATAACGGTACTTTAGAGAAATACGAAATCTTCGATAAATTAGTAAATCCTGAAGCTAATTTATTCAAAATTGATGCTTGCAACAATTTTTTACCAAGAAATACGTTTGTGATAAGATTTTGGAAAATGGGGGTGGCAACGCCCACTTATGATCACATATATGTATCTCGGTAACCGTTCTACCAATTTGTACAAAACACGGTGCGGTTATTGTGCTTGCCACGTAAAAGCAAAGCGTTGAAAATCATTGAAATCGGACTAACATTACGACCACTTTTCATATAACGGTAAATTTCAGAATGTTTGAAACTTATGTATTTCGAAATTTAAGGACACTAATTTACCCAAAATTGATACTAATAACAATCCCTTGGAATTGGATTTTGGAAAATGGCCGCGATACCGCCCACATATGACTATATAAGTTTATCTCATTATGTATAACTGAACGTTCTATCGAAGATGTTTAAAATAGAGGTAACACCACCCCGGCTTACCATGTAGCGGTAGTTTTCGGAAAAGTGAAAAACATATATTTAATTCCGAAAAATGACACTGAAGATGGCACAACGCCGAAACCGGTTTGTCTGCAAACCAAACTTGACAAGGTATGACGGAAGTTCGTTCCAATATAAATCATATATTTATTACTTGCGCCGGGTATTTAATGTTCGGCTCCGCCCGAACTTAGACTTTCTTACTTGTTTATTTAATAATTAATATTTTTTGTATGAATGTCTAGCTCATTATACATATAACACCGCGCGATAGTAAATTTTAAACATAAATGTCAATATATTCGCGAAACCCTGGGCCAAATATAGTAAAATTGCGTTTTTAGTTTTTCACTCTGACGTCAGTAATTCAAAATTGATTTAAAAAATTCATAGAAATGTGCTTTGAGGGTACAAAATTAATGAGGAAATCCTATAGACTTTAACCAGATTCAAGTTTCTGGTGCAGTTCCAAGCAGTTGTGGTCAAATTTGAAACGGTTGGGTGTGCGCTCGGGGTCGGAGGCTCCATGCCAACTCGATGCCGATTTGCTAAATGAGTTCTTTGTATCCAAA